GAGCCTCCTCAGGAAATGGGGGTAGACCATTTTCCAGTAATGACAAGGCTGTTGTGGAAGAGAAATTCTACATTTCTGAAGACAATATTCCAGTAAATTTAGAAGAGTTAAATGCAATGAAAGCTACTTCAGTCCTTCCTAATTCTGTAGTTGCTTCTATTCAAGAGGAAGGACTTGAAAATCCAGGAGAAACATTTTATCCTGATTCCACAGGGAGAACAGAACAGCTGACACAGCTTCAGGCTCGAGATTCACTTGCTTTTCTGAACCTGGATCAGCCAAGCACAGACTCTTCCACTAAAGGTTCTCATTTGCCCATGAAAATGGCCTTTTCTCCTCCTGGCTTTATGGAAAATAAAAGTTCTAAACTGCTAACAACTGAAAGCATCGTCTTTATTCCTGAAGATTTAATCAAGAATTTTGTCATCATGGGTGATAAACCATTGTCTGATGCCTCAGAATTAGAACCTGAATTATCGGATATCATTGCGTTCATGAATATCATTAACGAACCTGATAATCAAGATAGCCAAGTCATCTGCCTTCAAACAGGCTGAATCTCATTACCTTGAGCTCAAGTTTTCCTTGTCAAATAGCATCAGAAATTCTGTAAATAATGATGCAGGCTCAATACTATGGAGAGAAAAAGAGATTATACCAGAGATGCTACATTCACAGGACAGAAGTATTCCTTTGACTGAATTTGGTATCATGACTAATGCCGGATTTTTCTTTCTTGATTATTCTGAAGATTTCGTCATCATGGCTTCCCTCTCTTTCTCTCCAATGAATACAATGCACACTATGAAAGATGAGCTCATTCTTGCCACTGACCGCAGTTGTGCTGCCTGGAGAAGACAATAATAGGATCACCGAGTATCAAGCTCAACAGTGCTCTGAAAAACGTGGTGACATTCCTGATGTCTCTACTGAGTATCTTGAAAGCTCTGGCCAAATGACAAGTGGTTTTTTGACTAATACTCCAGCTGCATGGTCAGATATCTTTGAAACAAAGATTGATTACACCTATTCCATTAACAATTATGCTTCAATGAGATTAAAAATGACCTTATATTGGACTCCCTAGGCATAATTTCTCTTTCCTTTCATTTCAACATAGATTTCAATGAACATAGATGACATTTTTTTCCCTTGGGATAAACTACGCCTAGTATATTGTACTACATAGATATTATATCTGAGATTAGTGATTGTGAGCATGTTTCAAATAATTATGTCTTTGAGTTAGTAAATAAAGCAAACATGCCCCTATTAAAATGAACATATTCTAATCTATCCGAAAAGACAAGTGCATATCATGCATAACATACCACAATTGATGCTTTATATGGTCTAATAAAGCAATACCTTCAGAGGTACAAACAAAAGAAAGTTAGTAATCTATGGCCCCTAGAGAGGAAAACAAGAATTGATACTGGTACCATTGTCTTCCAAGACGCTGATAACTGTGAGTGTAACAAAGCTCATATATTCGTAGCTTATTTCCTATCTGATGGAAGTCAGAATTTTTCTTCTATTTTTCTAATTAAACATATTTTGGAGAAAATACAACAAATGTTAATGATGACAATGCAGTTCTCTCTGAAAACTCTGACTTAGGAAATAATCACCACTCATTTTCTTTTCAAACACAGAATCACAATGGATACTGCTAGCCATGCTATCAAAAATAGTCAAATTTTTCTTAGGAAATACCAAGTGCCTATTGCTTATAAGATATTTTATGTGCTTAGAAGCAAAAACTACCACCTCCAATATAGCTGCTTTCACTGAAAATGGAGCAGATGTATTACGATATCTGATTCAAGGCTTAGTGCTTCTCGTTTAGTTCTACTTTTCACTGATTTCTACAAAAATAAAGAATTTTTAATCAGTACAGGTATTAATTCTTTTTTCTGAAAGTTATCTTCTATTAAGCCAAAATCTCTACTCTCTCATTTAGGACAATGGTAACAAAGAGAAACATGCACAGGTCTAATCTACATGGGAAGTAGAAAGTAGAAAAAGACAAGATCTCCTGAATAAATTGGGAGCATGGGGACCTTGAAGGAGGGTTGAAGTAGAAGGGGAGAGGCAGGGAGGGGAGCAGAGAAAAATGTAGAGCTCAATAAAAAATCAATAAAAAAGGAAAAAAGAGAAAGTATCATGTGAGAAATAATAACTCTTTTTTTATTTACTAACTCAGAAATATGTAGATATATAAAATCTTTCTAAACAGAAATTCTGGTGTCCGGTTGTTGTCTAGTTGATTCTTTGAAAATTGTACATGCCATATTTCGTGACCCTTCTCTGCACAAATGAAGTCTCAACAATGAACATCATTTTGATGTCAGCGTTTATGGTTTCTAAGTATGTTATCCAAGAAAATCATAAATGTGCCTTCCTGTGAACTTATTAAAAATATCCCTGTTTTTACTAAGAGATTCCATTTTTCATATAAGACTTTTACCATAATCCAGAAGAAGTTACTACTTAGAAGAATGCATAAGCACCAGGGCAAATTCCTCAAGTTTCAAGCAAATGAAATACACACATGAATCAAGCAAGGTTTTGTTAACACTGCCAAAATAAGACTTGACAGTAGGTGTAACTTGGAAACCTTACTAAGCAAGGATAAAGTGTACCAAATATTAGGATCTGGATTCTGACTATGAAGAGGTTGCTATGCATATTAGATCAAATTTACATATGGTAATTAGGTCCGTTAAGTCAGGTAATATCTGGGTTGGCAGTGATCTTTAAAGGGATACAGTTCTTCACACTATATTCCCTGAAAGAGACAGTCTATTTCAAGACTTAAAATTCAGCACATACTTTGTAAACTTTAATGGATTGTATCTTTCAAAAATGAAGGGCTTGAAAAGCAGAGATGGTAAGAACACTTGCTTTTCAGAAGAAATAAGAGGACTATCTATACTCAATGGGATTCTATCTCACAGTAAAACTAATAATAAAAGGGTTGATGTGACCACAAAAACAACCCTGAAAATTAAATGTTATTTTGAATTTGCCATCAATGAAGATGGAACTCTCTCTTCATCTGGCATAGCCTGCTGGAGATCACAGGCTCATGAAGGAATATGTTCTTCATGGTTCTAATTCTGTTCAACACACAAATATCCTATCATATACAATAGCTGATTTGAGAATGACTTTATTATGTGTCTTCCTTTATTAATTTTTGATATTTCTATCTAAAACTAAATAACCTGGACCTACCTTACAACTTCCTTTTCTGTGACACTGAAGACATTCCCTAGATCAGCAAAGACACTGGGGGAATGGTATGGTGAGGTGAGCCACAGTCCTCACATTACATAATCAAGGCAGAGAATCCCAAATTCCAGGACAACCTAGGCTATGTAGCTCAAACAGTCTCAAACAGTCTTAAACAGTCAACAAACAAAGCAAGAAAAAGGAAAGTGAACTATTGTAAAAATCAGTAGTGACAGCCTTCTAAAGTACAAAAACATTTCTGGAGAACCTATTCTTGATTTTTTAACTGTGTGCCTTAAATCTGTTCTTGTATGTCTAGAAAGACTGGTATCATATCTGGGACATTCCATAGCTAAAAGGAAGCTGTGATCTCTGTGTCCGTAGTTAAGAAATGTTTTTGTACCTGAGGTGGAGACTGCCACTCAAGTCATGATGCTCCCAACTCTCTGCGCAATTGATGTGTACGAGTGAAAATTCCATTACCTGATTCATGCGGTAAGAGACTGGCATTAAACATTGACACGGAATTTCTTTCCCCTTAATGTAATCATCTAAGCCTTCAAGTCAGCTGTGTGATGGTTGCCTGCTAAAATATTATTGTGAAACTTCCATTTGAAATGGCTATCTTGTAGAACAGCTACTGTGACTTCAACTCTGGTTCTTGCTGCTTCATGATTTAGATAGATGACACCAACTTCCTGTCACAAACTCCTGTCTTCTGAGGTTGAAATAACTTGGGGAGGAGAGAATCCATGAAAACCTAAATCTACAAAACTTGGCCTACTGTTTCTCAAGTTAACTGAAGAAAATATGAAAAGTTTTTCCAATGCATTAACAGTATTGTTATTATTCCTACTTAAAATGTAATTTCTCAAAAAAAAACTGACTGAAGTTTTGCTGCACAATTATCTTCTCTATTTTTATTTCACTATAAAAGTGTTTTTTCAATTTTAGACATTTAAGCATCATGAATCTCAGAGACGTATCTGCACTCGGTGTGCTTGAATCCAGTTACTGAGCTTTGGGCAAGGGGCTGGAGGTTAAAATACACAGACACACACAAACGAAGAGACAGCGACATGGGTCATCCTTGAATTCCCCAAGAATGCCCCCTTTATTGTGTTCAAGGGCAGATTATATAGAGATAGCCACACCCCAGCCAAACCCACCAGAAACCACTCTCCTGCCATCAGGAACTCCTGAAGGTCTCGTGCTCAGAGCAGCTGTAGGCACTCAGATCAGGGGATTACAAGAAATTCAGGATCTGGGATCTCACTGCTCCCAACAATGTGGCTCTGCCTTCCAAAGTGCACTGTCACTTGATTGTAAAATGGTTGATCTCACACAGATGCTGATAGACTAGGCATCCAGAGTTCCCATTACTGGTAAGCCACAAAGTACCTACCAAGCTTGTGTGTGTCAGTGTCAAGCGACACCAGCACCATATCAGAAGGCATATGCCTGTAAGCAGAAATATGGTAAATCCTAGGTTCTCTAAAAATGAAGTATTTAGTGTGGATTTTTATTTTGTAAGCATAATTCCATAATCTTTTCTTCTAATATTAATAGTCATTCCAGTAAATGTCTAATCACAGCCAAGAAACAGCCTCCAAGGGGAGCCTTTGTCATAAGCTGGGTGGCTGATGTAACAATCCCCATGATGACCTGTGCTTCAGTCACTGTACTGATCACTACTCACCTGCCCAGGAAGCCAGTAAGCTCAGAGGAAACATCTGTAAGAGTACTTGGTGCTCCTGTGCCTCATGGCTGAAAATGAATCACCCAAAATTTATTCTTGTCCTCCAAGAGAGAGCAGTAAAACACCAACAGAAGCAGCCATTTTCTTTGGGACTGACAACACCATGCCAAAATCAGAAACTACTATTACCTCTGAAGGAGACCACATTACTTCAGTGAATGAGTGCACACCAGATGGTGATTTTTCTACTGCAGCCAACAAGCTCACACCTACAAAGGAAAAGATCAAGTTAGAAGATGATCTTGAGGCCACCCTGAAGTCAACAGCTCTTCCAGAGAAAGAAATTACTACTCCGACTGAAACTACCATCTCTAAAGCTAAGGAGTCAATTACTGAAAATTTCATTCCGGGGAAAATGGGAAGCATCTCATCCCCAGTTGGTACTGTTTCTTTAATAGATCTCTCCAGTAGCGTGGCAAAAGAAGACATCCTCTTAGCCACCATTGACACAGGAGACAAAGAAGTCCTACCTATTACCAAGCTCTCTGCCAAATCGGAGGACACCTCCGCACTTCCAGATGAAAACACAGAAACTGATGGTAGCTCCTCAATCAATCCCAACGATCCTGATGATGGAGCTGTCCAGGTCACGGACTCCTTGAGTCCCGAGGCTGAGCTACCTCCCTCTACTGAGAACGAGGTCACCACCACTCCAGACACAAGCAACGTTGCAGAAGAGAACACACCTGAAATTGACCTGATTGTTTCAGGGGATAGCGCCAAAGCTGTGAGAAAATTAACTGATTCGGATGAGGAAAAATTTATCACTGTTTTTGAACTCACCAACGCTGCTGAAAAAGCCAAAGATAACTCAGAAGATACTTTTACTGATGAGGAGTCGGCTGATGGAGTCAATGCTTGGATGGAGAAAGAGACTGGGAATGAAGCAGAGACCCATTCAGTTTTGCTAACTGCCGTTGAATCCAGGTATGACTTCATTGTCCCTGCCTCAGGAACTACCAACATGGTGGAAGAACTGACCGCTAACACAACAGAAGACCTGTCTGAAAATGAAACAGAGGAATCTGAAACTAAGGTCACAGAGGAGTTTCCTGCAGTGACCCCTACAGTAGATACCCCTCAACACAAGGAAGACTCTTCTACCCATGACTCGGGTATTTTCAAATTGCTGAAAGAAGATCCTGATGAGCTAATGATGTAGAAGCAGCAACAGAAGGGCGGCCACGTAGAAGTGCACAACGAATTAAAAGACAGTCTTATTGTCTAAGTAGTTACTTAACAGGAAAAATCTTGAAAAGGAAAAACAATGTGGACATTTAAGGCAAGTACTATTGGACTTAGAAAAGACAGATGTTTATGGACAGAGGTCATGTAGCAGAATATATTTAAGGACAATTTTAAAACCAACAATCTCAATACTTTTCTGGGTATCATGGGTTGTAATGTAACAACTTACCTTAATGTAAAATAATCCATACAAGATTTTAAAGATATGAAGGGGGCAGAGGTGAAGAGCCCATCTCTTGAAACATTGAATGTTAGGTACCATTTCAGAAAATTCTGTTATAATTTAGTGAAATTATGGCAAAGAAATCATATAATATGTAAAAATTACTGAAACATTAAAAAGTTTTATGAAACTTTTATTCTAAAATTTTTCTTTTTAATACCACAAATATGATTCTCTTCTATTAAAATAGAAACCCTCACTAATGTCAGAATTAAAGCTTCCTTGTAATTGCTTAACACCCATGTGTAACATAAGAAATCAGACATACTTCTTGGTCCATATTTGATGCTAAATAAAACAAAATATTAGTTTTACATATATGTTCATTTGAAAATAATGTATAAACATGAGTTGATTTAATGTTCTTACTGTTAATATTTATATCCTGAATTTTTGTCAATTTTTTTTCAGATCATAAATGAATATCGTACTCTCCTTAGGCAGTTGGCTAGCAATTCAAGGACACGTATCTTCATCTTTTTTTCTGATACAGACTTTCCAAATAAGTCTGTTGTCATTGTGCTGATTCTCCTCAATAAATCATTCTGGAAGCAACTGGTTTACCATGTGTGATGTGTTTGATATTCTGGTATAAACTCTTAAGAGTCATACAGAAAAAAATTAAAAGTCTTGCTTAAAAAACAGAAATAGCATTATTCTATAAAGATCCATAATTTCCTTTTCTTAAAACTGAAGAAATTAAAACATGCCAAAACACAGAGTAAATAGCAAATATTATATATGAGAGAGGATGTTTAAGTAGACTCTGGACTAGAATAAGTGTGGTACTGTGTTTAATTCCAGAAACATGTTATTATACAAACATTTGAGATGTATCAGATCATGGATATCGCAGCTCATCTCTCAATAATCAAGTACTTTGAAAAAAAATAAATTGAAATACTGATTAAATTATGCTAAAGCCTAAAAAATAAGAATGATAATTTCATCTAAGCAAGTAACAAAAGACAAAAATTAACATACATGACACAATGAATAATCAAAATTATATACAAAATATGAGTAATATATAATTCAAAAGCAAATAACTGGAAGAAAATTACATTATACTGTACACCGGAAAGGCTATTACCCTTGTTACATAAATACTTCCCAAAGAGAAATGCCTGGAAAGTCTCACAAACATGACATGACTGCCAAAACATGAGCTGAACAAGGACAACAGTAAGACATACCAAATTGACAGGAAAAGCCTGCCCACAACATGGCCTCAACCCTCTACAAGGAATCGCAGGTAGCTAAGAAATGCTAAGAATAGGAGAAATAAGATTCCCCAGGGGAGAGCACACCAATTGGTCCAATACAAAATTACTACCCCTGTAAACATTATACACGTACAAGTAGCATTATACAGACTGAGCAGATTGTATTTAGGAATATATATGTGTATGTACATATACACGTAGTCATGTAACAATGATTCATGGGAAAAGGGGGCTGAGAGAGGAAAAGTCTATGGGAAGCCTCCTTTATCTCATTTCTCATACCCAGGAAATTCAAAGTTGTCATAATAAAATCTTTACATTTTAAAGAAAATAGGAATCAGTCTGCCTCCATTCCTATAACATTTTCTTTTTTTTCCATTTAAAGACTGCTTGGCCCATATCTATCTAGCCTCTTCTAGGCTAATTCTCACATATTAATTTAGCCCATTTCTAAAAATGTGTGTAAGCACCCCAAGGTGCGCTTACCGGGAAGATTCTAGCCTACGTCCATCCTGGGTCGGTCTGAGCTGCCTGGGAGAATGGAGCCTGGCGTCTCTGCTCCAGAGAGCAGACCATTTTCTTAATCCCAAAATCAAGTAAGTGACATTTTAAAATGCAGTTTGATTATATCCCATACATTTCTGTGCTCAAGTACTCTCCCTAGAGAAACAACATACTAGGATATGGGGGGAGGAGGTGCAGAGATAGACAGACAGAGGAAGAGACACTGACTGGAAATCCAGGTAAGAGCTGTTTCTGCAGAACGGAGGCTGAAGTTCATGAGGCTTGCCAAAAGATAAACTCTGCCAGGGTTCCATGATACAGTCATCTAGAAACTGTTTTCATCCTTAGTCCCATCCACTCTATGGAGCTCATCCGAGTTAAACTCATTGTAAGCAATAATCATATTTTAAATCATCATAATAACTTATAGGTTAGTACTTAGCAAAACAACAGACAACGTGACACATAAAATTAACCCCACACAGAATATAGATAAGTTAAAATGTTATATATAGCTACTGGATCACTTTATACTAAGGTAATTTCACTGTTATTAATGCACTAACTACCTTATAATGATAGCCTACAGTTTATTCTAGACAAAAATTAGTAATTCCCCCAACAGAAGTGAAACATACTTAAAATATCGTGGTGCAAGAGAAAGCTAGAATTGTAGACACCAACAGATTCAAAGGCTAGATCCTGAAACTATCTGGTCTTTTATTTTCCCATGTTTTGGCTACTTCATAGACCAAATATCTATGTGGGTGACACTTATGCAGCTTGATCTATTGGGGGGCAGGCCCTAGCAGTGGGACCAAGACTTATCCCTGGTGCGTGAACTGGCTTTTTGGAGCCTGGTTCCTTGCCCAGCCTTGATACGGGGGGGGGGGGGATGATTGGTACTGCCTCAACTTTGTATGCCAGACTTTTATTGACTCCCCAAAGGAGGTTTCACCCCTCTGAGGAGTGGATGGGGGTTGGAAAGGAGGAGGTAGAGGGGCAGGAGAAGGGGAGGAAGGGAATACTGGGGTTGAGATGTAAAATGAAAAAAATAAATAAAAATATCCATACAGACCTGAGACCTCCTCTCAGTTGAGAACTAGCGTGTTCCAATCCTAGTGACCTGGGCTTTAAGAAGTGTTTCAAAGCTACGCATAAATTGAAAAGCCCAACAGTCGAGGAAACACTGTGTCTAGTGGCCTCCAGCTCACCTTTCAGATAGACAGTACGGTGACCCTTCTCTATGCTCTAATTCTTTACAGTGTGGACGGATACCAAGTGGATTTGCCCTTCTTGAACAGAAGGCATTGCAAATCTGATTATCTACCAGTAGACATTCCAGGAAAATGCTTCTACTAATGATTGACATTGCTGTGAAATTAAAGTTTGCTGACATCACAGCAAATGTCAAACTATCAAAGGCTCATGCTTTGCATTATTTAATACTTAGCACATGTTTGTGAGCAAGATATAAAAATCTATTACAAGGGATAATTATGAATCAAGTGGTGAAGAGGGTACTGAGTAAAGAACCAAAGTTCTCCCATTTTGTCCTCCGCCTCCATCTTATGCCTTGTGTAGTCCATTTCCTGTAAAACACTCCAGCCCTCAGAAATGGCTAGGGGCAAAAGTAACAGGGTAGCCATCTGGAAAGTACAGATAACTGCAGACTGTCCCCACCTGGAGCTGATAAGAAAACTTGACAAGCAACAGGCAAGGTTCGAAAATAAAATTTCTGAAAAGTCCCTAGACATGAGCCAATCAGGATTGAACCCGTCACCCCACACTCTGCTAATGTAACTTTTCTGGGTTTTGCCTTTAGATAATGCTCTCTACCAGGGTGGGGTACCTCCTCTAGCTCCTGTGCTGCGGAGGTCCCTGCCAGTTTCTATCATGCACACAATAAACCTTGTTTTTGCATTTCCGTGAGTCGGTCTTCCTGGTGGTTTTTTGGGGTCCCCATGGACTGGGCATACCCATTGCTATGGCTGCTCTCATTTTTTCTCATTTTATTGTCCAGGAAGAAAGCCAATGCCCTGGAATGCCGATGTTGTTAAGGTTGAGATAATTTTATAACCATTTAAAACGAATTCTCCAAAATTGTTTTACTTTCATAAGCTAAAGATGCACACAAAAGAGGCTACTACTGTCATGTTGTCCCTGACACATCACCATCCACATTAGACATTACCTTGTACTGCCAGGGTTTATTTATTGTTCTTTTGTATTTACTTATTATTATGTATTTATTGTACATGCCAGAGTATATTATATACTCATTAGGTCTAAGATTTGTAAGGAGGTTGTAGTAGTTACTGTTTTGCAGTAAAATGTTAAGGAAATGTCTCCAGCAATAAAGAGGGGTTGACCATTGTATAGAGATTTAATTACTATCAACAAGCCTCAGCTTTTCTGATGCACACACATAATGAACTTCACTGACAAGAAAAAGACAAGTGTCAACCTTTGAAGACTGAACCACTTCCTTGTTGTCATGGGACTTGTTTGGACTAACCCAGAGGCAAATGGTAAAACAATAATTGTAATAATATTTTGCTGAGCAATATAGAAGGGACAAAAGAGAAAAGGAATCCTTCAGACTGCAAGCATGCCCTGTCCTCTCTCTGAAGCCTCCAGACTTGGGAGGCTGAGGAAGCTGGCACAGATGGACAAGCAGGAAATGGGGCTACTAGGTAGGTGGTCATGGTCATTCCTTCAAAGTTCAGAGGCTTCACAGCCTTCTTTAGACTGGTTTATACCTAGTTTGTAAATTGTAAAAGTACTGTAAAATCTTTTTTATACAGCAATTTTACAATTAAAAATGGAGAGGCATGCTTCAAGAGGTTGTCACCCATAATCGGCATTCACTCTTGTTAAATGGCAATAATTTTGGTAGAGATGAACCCCGTTTGCTGTCTGGAATGCCAGGAAGCTTTAATATGGGCTTTTGAGACAAGA